CATGATTACTGAATAAGTTATTTCACTTCTGGTAATTTACCATCCAGTAAAATGGCAATAACATCTGTTCTACCTAATTCACACAGCTACAGTAAGAATCCTCTTTCGAGAATTAAATGACAATGAATATGGTAGTGCTGGATAAACTATAAAGGATTGTACAAATATAAAGAGATTCCACCAAAAAGGTCACCTTGAATTTGTACCCTATGGATTCACTTTTTCAAAAATCTTACATAAAAAATGGTTTTAAGAGAAACTTCAGAGATTGGAAAAAGTCAATTCTAAGCCACAAGACAACTCCAACTTTACAAACTTGCAAACTTTACAAATCATTCTGTATGATAATCTCTTGTAATAATGCATTAGAAATATTATTAAATTTCATTCAGCCAAACTATTAAGAGATAGAGAACGTTTCCAATTCCCAGAGTTGTAATAACAGGAAAATTTCAAAACCATCTCAAGAAAATACTGTATTAGTAAAGTAGGAAAGCTCACTTACTTTGGTATCTACCAAGAACAGAAAAAGAAAGATTTATACTCTGTCTGCCATCAAAGTCTAAGGCTTTGTGGTTTTCTGCAAATTTGAAGCAGAGAGGGGACTCAGATTATAGGTTAAAGAACACTACTGGCTAGTACTTTAAAGACCAGAAGAAAAATCACATCATCTTGTTGCCCTCATCAGTCGAGAATAGAAGGTGATGGGACAAAACCAAGTGAACATACAAGAATCATTCCACTAAAAATGATATAGACACTTAACATGGTAAAATTCAAAGACAAAACTTAATAAAAAAATATATACGAGCTCTTAAGCATATAGTACAGGACACAAAAAGCCATTTGGAAATGTAGGGGTATTCCAAGACAGGTGCGGAAACACAAGTTCTTAAAAAAACAATCAGTAAAAAATATAAGAACAATGGTAGCAGAATAAAAGGAGCCTAAGGCCGAAAGAGCTAACTGGGGAAAAAGCACACCTCACTTTTAAGTGTGCCAAAGCCCTTTAGAGAAGGGTTATTAGAAAAATACCTTATAAAAGAAAATTATAACACATGGTATCACATAAACATAAGTTGATGTGGAAAACATGTGAGTACTTTTCCATTTTCACAGTCAGAATTAAAAAATGAGAAAGCACACCCCAGAGAATACAGACATAATACCAAGGTGAGAAATGTAATCAGTAACTTCGAGGGAACAGTGGTTAAACAACTCCTGGGCTTAAAAGCTCAAGGAATGGGTATGGGAGGGTAAAAGAATTCAAACACGTAGGTTGAGTTGCAGAACCATAAAGCGTAATAAGTAGTTGAGAAGCTAGAACCTGCGCCTGGATAAGCAGGTTTATATTGCTGTGGTTTAACTACTACCTCAAATATGACACGGAATATCTATCATGTGTCAGGTATCCTGCTGGCTGCTGTTGGGAGTAAAGGCGTGAGTCAGACAGGCCCTGCTCCAAAAGTTCTGAGTCCATTGAAGGAGATAGGCTCTTATGCAAGTAAATCTAGTCTAAGGCACATTGTGATAAAAATCATACGAGACGCATAAAGAGGTTATGGCACAGTGAAAAAGAGTCCTCAGTAGAATACAATACAAGGTCCTGGACAAACCCTGGACTCAGACAGAGGGTACCTGAGGTCCAGTGCCAACTCGGCCCTCAGCAGGCCACACATATCTAAGCAAATAACTTACACTCTCCACACTACAGTTCTCACATTTATACCAGAAAAAGGTGGACTGTGTGATTTCTATTAGTTCCAACTTTCTGTCTTCGCAGCCAAGGTTCTTGGAGGTCAGGCTCTGAATTAAGTTATGAATGAAAAGACTTTATGGACTAGAAATTGAGGGATAGTGTGGGCTGAAAGCAAAGAAGAGGGTGAGCTGAGGCACAGGACTCTGGCATCACCAACTCATGCTGCAAATAAAAACTGTGTTACCTATTATCTGGGGATTTCACTAATGGTATAGAACATTCTAAATGTACAAAAAGAGAAAAAGGAAATAGATATAAATTTTAAAAATGTATAAAAATTTAAACAAAAAATGACATGAATTATAAAAATGTTTAGAATACCAGAGAATGTACTAACATGTAAATTAAATACAAAGTAAAGCAAATCTTACACTTCTAACAAGTATCGTGTCATAATATATAGCAGATGAAGAGATGCAGCTTGATTTAAACAAGAAGTCTGAATATCCACGAACTTTTCCCCATATTTGTCTTTAAAATGTATGTATGCAAGGGAAATTTCTTCTTTCACATATTCAAAAAAGGTTACATTAAAAAAGAGAGAGAGATTGGCAGAATTGCAAGAAAGAATCAAGACTTCAGAAATTAAATGAGACTGAATTGCTTCAAATGAGGATGCCATATTCCAAACTGTTTATTGCAAGAGAAGAATTACTGAGCAGTGCACTCACCCATCCAGCCATCCGCCATCCATCCAAATATATATATACATAAGAACATACAGACATACATTTGACCATACACAATCATTCCTACTAAAAACACAGTCACGTAATAAGAGCCAAGAGGAACATAAGGACGAGCGAGAAACCATGTCTTGTTGCTTAAATGCGGAAACAAAGCTTACATTCTTACAAGGAAGTAGGGAAGTATCATCATCATATGGGGCCTGAGTGCCACATATGCCATGAATAGAAGGACAGGCAGTAGAGCATGCTGGGTAAGGACAACAGCCTCAGTGTGGAAACCATTGGCCACAAAACCATTGAGAATGTCACCTCTCCTCTCTGAGCTTCCATTTCTTTATGTAAAAAACCACTTGTTTCATAGGGCTATATGAGAAGACAGTAAAATGATAATGAAAAAACATAGTGCCTTATATAGAGTACATGTCCAATACATGACAGAGGAAGAGCAGGAGGAATAACAAAAGACGCAGAAATTTGATAGTCAGAATAAGATGTATGTGGCAACCCAGGGAAGGGAGTGATCACTTCTGATCTAGGCCATGCCTAGATATTCTGGAGAAGGTGATATAAGAAGGATTTTGACAGGTGACAAAAGGGTGTGGGATGGCATGTTGAGAAAGAACAAAGAGTTTGAGCTGCAGAGTAGTAGAGATTATGTCTGTGTCCCTAGAGAACAAGACAGACAGTGGGCAAACATCACACAGTGCAGTGAAGAGAATGGGGCATCTCAACGTAAGGAGAGGCACCCAAGGGGCCAATGCACATAATTCATAGCATTTGAAGTGAAGGGGTCTGAAGAGACCATTACATGCTTCTCTCCTTCCTTTCATACACATCACCTACTAGCCTACTTAACACAGGACCTGCCCCCATGCTAACCCTTGGGTGTGCATCGACTGTCATACTTCCTAAGCCTTCCTCACATGTTTGCCTCCTACTCTAGCAGGGAACCCGTCTTACTCCCTTCATATTGTAGGGGAGTCCGTTTTATCTCTCCCCTAAAGTTAGGAGAGAAAATAACAATCCACCTAGTAAGCAGACAATGGGAAACATCGAGAAAGCCAACACATGATTCCTCCTGTCCTTAGAAAGAGGGATTCTCTTCCAAATCCCATTCCCAAATCCTGCAACCACTAAAGAATGATGAGCCAAGGAAAACCAGTTCCACTAAGTCCTTGATTAACAGCAATGATGTAGTCTCCTTCAAGGCCAATAAAACTCCAGACACTGCCGTGGAGATTAGGAGACCACCAAGGATGTCATTTATTATTTTTCCAGAGCAGCTTTCTAATGGTCTTGCTCTTGCCCTTTCTGGAGAAAGGATACCCAAAGATCCACAGCCACAGCTCAGGTGTGCATGCTGATGCCTGACCTCCCTATCACCTGCCTAAGCAGCCAGCCACCTTACATAAGCTAGACAACTGGTCTAGGCTTCTGACTTCAGAAGTCATTAGATACTAATTAAAGTACCAATAGACCAGTAAAGTGTGTACTGGGGGCAGTGAGAGGACTAGGAGGAAACGAGAAAAACTGAACTGTGTCAGAGAATGTGAAAGAGTCTCATGCAATATTGTCTAAACGAACACACTAATGTCATGCAAGAAGCAATTAGAAATATCGTGGAGAGGGTAACATGATTTTTTTTTAAAAGCAGGATGGGGAGGAGGCAGACATGAGGGAGAAATTAAAAAAAGGGGTGCTGAATCTCCTTTCACTGCCCCTTTTCTCTCAGCTCCCGGAAGCCTAACGTTTTTCTGTTTGCTAGTTATGCATTAGTGTTCATGGATTTGGATGAGCTGCTGACATTGATTGGTAAAAATATAGACTTCTTCAACAAAAAGCACAGTGCTCTTCACGCTGCCTATGGGTTTACTGTGTGAGTGTGGTTACGTCCTTACACACCTGCGATGCTGAGCTCATGCAGATCTTCAAACTCCACTTGATGTAAACTGAATGGACTGCTATCCAAAATGCCTAACACTAGGCTTCACTCAAATTTGTCTGTGAGCTTCCACAAAAGCAGACCTCACAGAACTCTCTAGACCATTTTACCCTACAGCAGCCTACAGAAGGAAAAATAGCCAGAGAAGGCAAAACGATTCCAAGTGCCTTATTAGGTTCACTTTGTATGGGTTTCCCTTCAGATCACTGCTTGGCAGCATTTTGGGGCACTTGACCAAGGGCAATAGGGAGGGAAAACTGGGTGGTAGACATATCTCTAGAAGACAATGGAAGGAGATGGAGGATGATGCAGTAGAAGGGCACTGAGCTATGAATGAAGGGACGAGGGTTCTAGTTTTGGCTCCACCTCTAACTCACAGTATAAACATAGCCATATAACCCCTAAAAGGTCTCAATCTCTTTATCCCTACGAGAAGGGGTGGCCTAGATGGTTTCTAGGTTTCTTTAATCTTTGATAGTCTATAAACTGTGATAACCACATTATGAATTCTTGAGCTAGCTTTTTCTGACACAACATTGTGCTGTAAGCCACTTTTATTATATTGAACTGTCCCACTTTGGGCACCCAACCCTGATGTCCCCACACTGACCTTCACCTCCAGATTGCTTGTAGGGGTTGTACTTGGGCTTTGGAGCAACCACTGGTGCAAACTTCTTGGGCGGCTGTTGTGTGGACACTGAAATGCTGGGGGTCCCAAAGGAATGGGTGGTCTCCATCCGTGCAGGCACATGGCCAAAGGGCTCACCAGTGCTTTTCGGTGGCAGCCAAGATGGGTGAGACATGGTTGGAACCTGGAATTGAAAAGAAATTAACACAATTGTTTTTACAGAAGCATGAAAATGGAGGCGACATACCTCACTTCATTATTATTTCATCTTAATCCATACTTAATGAAGACTTGATGAAGCTGCCTGAGAAGAAGAAAGAAGAAAGAGAAAAGATGGAAGAAGGCAGAAAGAAGAAGGAGGCAGAGGACAGTGAGGAAAGCTTACCTTAACTGGAGAAGGAGAAAAATTAAACACTCCTTAAACCAATCTTGACTACCTCTTTCAACACTTATCTATTTTAGTGCCCAGCACCATTCAGGAAATAAATATAAATAAGAGATGCTCCCTAACCTGAAGAAGTTCATATGGTAGGAGAATCTTATACCAGCAAAGTTGGAAAAAATCTTCAATTTCATTAATAATTTATTAAAATGATTACCACACCAATTAAACGGTGGTAACTTACCTAAATGAGGTGATATTATCTAACTGAGGTAAAAAAAAAAAGTGTTGCTGGGATGCAGAAAAAGACAAGTTCACCTCTTGCTGGGAGCAGAAGGAAGACCTTGTTAATGAGTTGACCTTCAGACTGGGCCTGGAGTGCTGAGTAGAGGTCAGGCCTTAACAATGTAGCAAAATTGCACAGGCAATTTATGTTTAGCGTGGCTGGAGGGGGAACAAGGAAAAGTAGCTAGCAAAGAACTAAAACGTGGGATGGAACCAAAACCCAAACAGCTTTGCATGCAAGCTTGAGGAGTTTGAATTTAGTCGGTAGGCATCAAGGAACCACCAAAAGTTTACTCTTGAAACCAGGACATTATAAGTGAATGTCAGGACACTTGAAAACCATCCCTCTGGTTGGAGAAGCTATGCCCCCACCAAGGGGCACTTGCAAATTGGGGGAATGGGGACATTTGTTTGCACAATGCGGGACAATTACTGGCACTTAGTAGCCAGGGACTAGAATATTCAACACCTGTAATGCACAGGTCAGCCCCACATGTCAAAGAAATGCAGCATTAGGAGCTATGCTGAACTGATAGGATATTGGACCTTTACGCAAAACTTAACTGGGAGGGGGACAAACCAGCCCAGCCCAGGTGCGGTTCTCATCAGATTACAATACACTATGTGAGGAAAGCAAAAGGATGTCTAGCGTGTCAAGGTAAGCCAATCACCACTCCAGGCAGCCTGCAGGCTGGGGCTGAGCCTCACAGACTGCTGCTGAGGAGGGCTCTCCAAGCCTGATTGCAAGAGCTCTCCAGCACGGGGAGGCCCGGAAGGCACCCTGCACCCGCTCCCAGCCCCAAATCCACCCAGTAATTTATTAATTGAACTGAATTAATTGAGAGAGCTACATGATTATCTCCAGATGTCTTTAGAGACAAAGAAGACTGGAAATGCAGGAAAAAATAAAAACCTTAGCACGTGCCATGACAATGAAGAGTTGGAGGGGAAGGGGTAGGGCCCCGGCACAGTGTTGCCTGAGTATTAGTATCAGGCCACACCAGTATGAGTGACACGACCTTGAGCAGCCCCCTCTCCCCGTCTGGTCCTCAGGTACCTCCAGTCCCTCAAAATTAAGATCAAAGCCCTGTCCTCTTTAACTCACAGAGTTTTTATGACAACCAACGAGACAATAACATTAGAGTGCTTTATATACAGTAAAGCGCTATGCAAAGAGAGAGGAGGAAAATTGTTAGAGGTGTAGTTTTCTCTATAAGAGAGGATGACATGAATCAATGAAGAGGACTCTGAATTGGGAACCATGAGGTTTCTGTCACTGAAGCCAGTAGTGACATTGGCTTTTCACTATGGTTGCAGGCCCCTTCTTTTCCTCTTTCCCCACTATACCTTGTGCACATGCTATGTACATATCCACCTGATAAACTGTGAGTTCCTTGAAAGGGCAGGGAGATATCTACACATCCCTAAACCACCATGATAAGGCCCAGCACAAAACCAATACAGAAAAACAACCATGAATGTCTGGTTTACTCATGGTTCTTAAACTTGGCTGTACATGAGAATCATTTGAGAAGATTTGTTTTTAATACCAAAACCAAGCCCATCTCTCAGGGTTGAGAAACACTAATTTTGGTTTCGTGCTTTTTTTTTTTTTTTTTTAATTGAGTCTCAGTCTTCTACTAAAAGGGGATAAAAGGGTCTGTTCTGCTTTCAACATAACCGAAGCGAGTCTAAGTGGGGAACAAGTAGGATAAAATAAAGGTTTGAAAATTCTAATGCACTGTGCACATTTGTAGTATAAATGTTATTTGTACATTTTAAAAAATGGGTTAATATTATCCTTGCAACTTTTCTGTAAATCAAACGTTATTCCAAAGCAGAAACTTTAAAAAATGAGTTAATGTAGGATGCAGTGATTTCTAAACCAAAGAGCCACATTTCCAGAGCAATCTCACATTGCCAATTAACTGTGGAATCCTGACCTTTTCAGATATGCCATAGATATAAAGGAACAGGCAAGTTCTGGGAGAGTATGAAAAACAAAAACTTAAGCATCGATATGCAAATCATTGACTCCATCATCTTTTCAGTTGTCTTCAGCACCATCTATTACCCTAACACTGCCTTTCCCATGGAGAGACTTCTAGCTCTACTTCCTGAGAGTGCCAGTTTGCAGATGACCTTAACAGCATCCTCTCATACCATTCTTCTGTATGTTAACAGTGGCTCAGTGACACCATTCTCAGGATTTGTAATGAATTTTCATGACCCAAACCCTTGCTCATGCTGTGCCCACAATCTACAATGCCATTTCCCTCCCTTCATTTTCCATCAAGTCCTATTTTTTTTATCTTGACCCAGCTCAAATGTCTCTGATGCTGTGAACATTTCCCTAACTCCCCCAAAAAAAGAGTAGCTTAATTCTGGGCTCTTTTAGTACTTGTTTCATACTTATAACAGTCCACACGGAAGCTATTTATTCACCTGCTTGTCTCCCCCAATAAGCTGGAAGCTCCTGAGTGGTCTCACTATACCAGCACAATGCTTGGCTAGGAACCCTTTGAAAACTGTGTTATGCATGAAGGAGTGAATGAATGAATGCTGATCTCTTTGGCTACTCATCCCTTTCTAGAATCTCTATATCTCCCTCCTTAGCATCCATTGATATAATCATCTCTTTTTCCCTTCCTTAATTTAGCAATGTAATGAATCATGTTGACAGATTTCCAGATATTGAACCATCTTTGCATTTCTAAAAAGAATCCCACTCAGTCACAATTGTAGTGTTTTGTTTGATATATTGATGAATTAAATATGCTATTTTATATAGAATTTTTGTACATGTAATCATAAGACTGATCATTCTGTAATGTTTTTTCCCTACTTGTTTTACTTATCATTATTAGGTTTTGATATGAGGGTTCTGTATCCTTTTCTACTGTTTGGATTAGTTTAATAACGAGATTGGAATTACCTGACCTTTAAAAGTTTATCAGAATTCAGTGTAAAGTCATATAGATATGATACTTTAATAATAGATCCTAATCATATTTCCAATAACTTCTATGATAAATGTAGTAGTTTTATGCTTGTTTTGAGGTTATTTTTCAGCATTTATATTCTGCTGAAATTTCATCCATTTCCTCTAGGTTTTATCTCCGCCCCCTTTCAACCAAGTTACCTCTCAACTAAAAATGATCTCTCATCTACTCTGCATGATTTAGATGCTGACTATCACTTCCTTCTAGCCCTTAAAGACATAATTCGTGTTCTCTATCCTCCAGTTCAAGTTGCATACCCTTTAGTACACTTCCACAGCACCTGGAGTACTGCCATCCTTACACTCATCATGTGTCACTCTGCCTCTCTGCTTGTCTGTATCCCAAACTAAACTCTTGAAGCTTTGAGAGTGGAAGTAATTATTCTCTAATCCCAGGGCCTAATACATAATAGGCACTCAATAAAAATATCTGTTAGTTTAATGAATGAATAAATTGATTTGCCTAGCAGGGGAGCTCCAGATGAATCAGATTCTCATCTTGTACTCAAGGAGCTTGAAACCTACCTGTGGGCAGATATATCTGTATCTGTGAAAAGAGAGAGAGAGCAACACAAAGCATACAAAAAAAACCTGGAGTACATCACAGGAGCTAGCACAGGCTTGGCAGGGGTAGGCCTTAACAAAGACTTTGAAAGCTGGGTGGCTGTGAAGGATAAAGGGAGCAATAAGCATGATGGCTGGAAACACGGTGAGCTCAAGGAAGAAGCAAGAAATTTCTGTGGGACAGGAGCAGACCACTTGTACTGAAATGAGGGACTCAGGGAAAATACTTAGGGAAAAGGTTTCAAAGATAAAGTAAGCTTTGCTTTTTAAAGAACTTATATAGAGAAATAAGGACTAGAACTTTTATCTTTGACCAGTAATCTGACAGGAGTGAAAACTCTATGTAAGAAAAATTAATCCATGCAGGATAGATCCAAGGAAGGCAATAAATACAACACATAGACACAGAGTCCCTGTAGCCCAAGTTCTAGTCTCAACTTTGCCAGTGTGACCTTTAACCAGAGAGAATACTCGTTTGCAGAAGGAATGTCTGTAAAGTCCCAGTCAGCTCTAATACTCTACAGTGCTTTCCTTCTCTGAGATCTTAATTACAGCCCTTCATTTTGATAAACGGGTTTGAGGAAACCTCACAAGTGTAGTGAACAGATGAACTAGAACATGTCAGTTGGGGTTTCTCAGCTTCTCAGAGAGACCAATGTAAACACAAAGATAATCAGTGAAGAGAGTTGGTTTTGCTGGACCAAAACTTACTCTGCTCTTACTTCCTCTGGTTCTAGATCGGTTTCACTCTAAGGTTACAACGATCACGAAAGCAAGAAGTGAAAGGGAAGATCCCCACAGAGGCTCTGAAGATACACAAACACCATCAGAAGAGAGGCAAACAAGAGAAACGGCCCTCGTCTAAGCAAAATGCCTACTAATGAAGGGAATTAGAGAGCTGGGGCTCCCTAAGCACTGGTCTTTCAGGAACTGTCGTCAAATGCAAAGCAAT